GGCTGTTTTCTTTCAGCAAGTATTTACTAAGAGGGTGTTTCAGTTTCTTCTCTGTTGCTGTGATCGGATACTCCAAAGTATTTCAGAGCCTCTTACGGGGAGGTGGTTTCCCTTGGCTCACAATTCACATCATATCCCATCCGCGGGCAGAAGAATGCACGCATGCGTACTTTGCTCTCTGTGCCCGCTGTGGCTTTCTCACTGCCTTGGACTGTGAAGTGGAACCAGCTGTGCGCTAAAGTGACCCTTTCTCTCTTAACTTGCCATCATCATTCTAGCACGGTACCACAAAAAGAAACTTAGGACAGGAGTTCCGAGTAGAAATGGCACCGAAATGTTTGTCACAGAATTTCCCCTAAGTTAGGTTTCAAGTGAAATTTCTGTTTAAAACAACAGACGTATGTATGATCCTAAATTTTCCAGCCGCGCAATCGTGACAGGCCGACTTGTGTTTACCACTCACAGAGAATGTTCCGAAAGAACAGTAGTGATTGTCTTTCTGAAGGCTGCTCTCACTGCCTGTGTCTTCTCTTTTGGGGGCTCTCCCACCAGGTGGAGATTGGGGATTTTGAGAGACCTTTCTCAACTCCAGCCGGGCATGTGACTAACCAGTGCAAAGCAAACCAAAACCTCAAACAAGTCATAGAAAAATTTTACCCTAAAAGGTACAGGGATGGCTGCTCAGAAGAACAGTTGCGGTAAGACGTTATTTTCAGCTCTTAGTACAAATTCTGTTTGAATCTTTTAGAATGCTTAATTCCAATGTGCCCTCAAGAGGTTTTTTTTTTAACATATTTTAAGATGTCTTTTAAAACTTTAGAATCTGTTTGTCACCTACAGCATGATGCTTGAAGTATAGAGTCATTGCGTGATGATATAATAAGCTTATGTGATTTTTTTGGAGGCAGTCTTGTGTAGCCCAGGCTAGCCTCAAACTCGGTATGTAGCTGAAGATAACCTTAACCTCCGATTCTCGTGCCTTTCCCTCAAAAATGATGAAATTACAGGCATGTGCAACCATGTCCAGTTTCGAAAAAACTTTTTAAATAAAAATGGCCGTAATTTAGGCCACCATTTCATCTGATCTTAATCCTGGGTTAGTCCTGATCATAAAGAAACTTTTGCCTCTATAGTGAAAGTGGCCGCCCCTGGGCTCAATCTGAGAAGAAAGGAGCTCAGCATTCCTCCAAATTGTACTGTTTGGACACCACTGAACTTTGAAAACTGAAAATACTCTCAGGAGAAATTGCCTGTCAAGCTGACTTACACTTAGGTTTGATGTTAGCTGTGTAGATGATAAGGATCTACTTGGTAGTTGTGCTGTGTGCTTGAATATTGTAGGAAAAAGAGGTGAGGGAGGATCAAAGGCTTTGGGGATGGGCTGAAGGGGACTTTGTCTAGATGACAGCATACTTATGGCTTTGCCTTTGTGTCTTGTTTTTGTCTGTTTTTTTTTTTTGTTTGTTTATTTTGTTTTTTTCTTTCTTTCCTTTTTTTTTTTTTAGGCAGCTTTACCAGCGACTCTCAACCAGATGGATGGCCCTCCGGGGACACAGTGCGGCTGACTGCGTGCGCATTTATTTGACAGTAGCCAGGAAGTGGCCATTCTTTGGTGCCAAGTTATTTTTTGCAAAAGTAAGAAAGAATGGGAAGAAGGTCACAAATAAAAGCCTCTGTGAACTAGGATGGCCAGATTTACCCCTGATATGGCATATTTGGGTTTTATTTAAAAATAAGGAAATTCCCCGCAACTTAAAGAAACCAATGAGGAATTCTGGGGGAAGGGAGAAAGGGAGGGAAGGTCCCCCGGGCCACACACTAAATCATTTTGAGAGTCAAGTCATCGGCAGATGAAAGAGCTAGCTGAACTAACCCTCATTCACTCATTAACCCCCTCGCTCATTGGCTCAGTTATTTAATGAGCGTTTACTGTGCCCTGGTTGGCAAGCCTTGAGCTGAGCTCCGGGGACACGTGAAGTACAGTCTCCCGTGAGTTGACTTTAGGGTGGGTCTCAGCTTAGCCCTGTGTTGCAACAGGCCTGTAAACAAGGCACTGTGTGGTAAGTACCCTTTGAAGAGATCAGAACAGACTGCAGAAACACTGGGCAGAGAGACCCCTGCCTGGGAGGTGGCTGACTCTGGCCCCTAAGGGAAAGCCTATGCCGTCTTTGGCGGGGGAGCATTTTGTTTTTGAATTCCCGGTACTGGGCATTAAATCAAGGACCTCTAGCATACTGAGAACAGGTTCTCACCTCGAGCCCCACACCATGCCCTTTAATTCTTTTTCTTTTCCTTAAATGGTACCGCCTGAGACTCACTTTGGCTCCAAAGATGAGTCCTTCCAGTCTGGTAGTCTGTCTTCCTCAGTAATGCATTGCATACTCCTTGAGAGAGCGATCCTACCATATTCGTCCGGTGCCCACCGTCAGGGTTTGGAAGCAGTTATCATTTAATAAATACTTGCTGAAGAGCTAAGCCACTCTGGACAAATTGGTCAAACTGCCTGATCTCAGTTTTCTCATCTTTTAATAAACAACATGGACTAGAGAAGTCAAACCCCAGGCATCTTCTACCTCTGGCTTACTGACTGTTATGTTAGCAATTGCTTTTACTACTGCAACTAGCAGCCATACACTAAGATAACAGAAAAATTATACACATGAGTATCGTACATCCATACAATATACTTGCAGAGAGTTAAAGGGTTTTGTTATCCTTGTTTGTATAAAGAGTAGGCCTGGCATGGTGGAACCCTCCTATAGTCCCAGCTACTGAAGAGCCCAAGGCAGGATTACTTGGGCCTGCTAATTAGAGACCAACCTCGCCCCTATCTAAAAACAGATGAATATGGACCTTTTTACAATGAATTTAATTCCAACTTCAGCACGAGCAGTGATGTTAATGAGCCCTTGGGATGCTTTTCTGTGTCATTATTTGCTAATGACACTGTTTGATGTTCTAGGACCAGCATTCGTCTGTCTGTAGCACAGGGAGCCACTTCCCTTGCCTGCTTCCTGGTCCCTTTATTGTCATCATCATCATCATTATTATCATTATTATTACTTTAGTATGGGAAAGATATACAACATGAAATTTGCTGGTATGCCCATTTTAACTGGGTGGTGCTCTGGCATTAAGTCGTTCACACTACATCACAGCTGCCCATCCTCCAGAGCTTGTTTTCTCTTCTAGCCTGCCGCTCTGGATCCATTGGAAACACTTACCTTTCCATACAATCCCCCTTAGCATCCTCAAGGACCACCCTCTGTTTCTGAGAGTGTGTGTAACTCTGGGGAACATGTGCACCCCGTCATTTGTTGTATTTAGGTAATGACTTCAAGATGCGCCTGGGCTGCAGCGTGTGTCAGATTTCCCTTTCTCTTTGAGGGCTGACTATTCCCTCACACACCTGCACTCAGGTACCACACTTGTTTATCCGTTTGTCAGTGCATCCTTCATCAAGAGGAACTCACCGGCCCCCAATACAATCTACCATCAGCCTTTGTATGGTCTGGGGATTAGATACAGGCCTTGTGCAGTGTAGCACTCCACGCCAAGCACATGCCCAGCCCTGGTACTTTCTGATGCTGGCATTTGAAACCACCCTCAGTAGAGACAGCGGTAATCCTATAGTTGAGATTTTCTGAGCCTTCAAACTTGAGATTTATTATCTACAATGTAAGATTCAGCCTCCCTCCTTGTCTGAAGGCTTGGCACACTTCTCTAAGACTTAAGAGAAGTATGTTTTTGTTAAATTTCGGTTTTTAGAAATCAATGCCTGTGAAAGGGTTGTTTGGTTTTTTGTTTTGTTTGTTTCATTTTTTTTTTTTTTTTGAGACAGGGTTTCTCTGAACTCATAGAGATCCACCTTCCTCTGCCTCCCAAGTGCTGGGATTAAAGGTGTGTGTCACCACTCACGGCAGGAGATTGTTTTTATTTTAAAAAAATTTCATTGTTTTGGCCTTCAAGATTTTTTTGAGAAATTCCAGTACTTCATCAATCATGTAATCTTCTTTTATTTCCTTTTTTCTTTTTGACTGTCAGGAAAGTATGCGCAGGTCACCACAATCCCTCAGTCACCTTAGAAAGCACAGCAGTTTGTTTTGTTTCCTGAGGGGTGTGGGCATCACAGAAACCCTAAACCTTCGACAACTATTAAATTTGTGAAACAAAAACAAAATGTAAAAGATTGCGTTTCTAGTCGGGCACACACCCTTCATCCCAGCACTCGAGACAGAGGCAGGCAAATCTCTGCAAGTTCGAGGCTAGCCTGGTCTGCAGAGCGAGTTCCAGGACAGGCTCCAAAGCTATGGAAAAAGAAAGAAAGGAAGAAAGGAAGGAAGGAAGGAAGGAAGGAAGGAAGGAAGGAAGGAAGGAAAGAGAGAGAGAGAGAAAGAAGAAAGAAAGAAAGAAAGGAAGGAAGGAAGGAAGGAAAGAAGGAAGGAAAGAGAGAGAAAGAAGAAAGAAAGAAAGAAAGAAGAAAGAAAGAAAGAAGGAAGGAAGGAAGGAAGGAAGGAAAGAAGGAAGGAAGGAAAGAGAGAGAGAAAGAAGAAAGAAAGAAAGAAAGAAAGAAAGAAAGAAAGAAAGAAAGAAAG